TCCAGGGGCCCCCTCACTCAGGCCACTGGCAAATGTGGAGGCTGTGGGTGTGTCAACAAGGTTGCTGGTGTTCTTGAGAGTGGGTTTTGTATACAGAAAGGACTGTTAAAAGCAGTTTCTTTGGGCCGGCCCGGTGGCGCACTCGGTAGAGTGCGGTGCTTGAGAGCGCGGCGGCGCTCCCACCGAGGGCTCGGATCCCATATAGAGACCGGTCTGCTCACTGGTTGAGCGCGGTGAGGGCGCGACACCGAGGGTTGCGATCCCGTTACTGGTCACGAAAAAGACAAAAAGGAAAAAAAAAAAGCAGTTTCTTTGCTTCTAAAAATTGTCTCTATCTTGGGGGCCGGCCCATGGCTCAGTTGGAAGTGTGGTGCTGATGGCACCAGGGCCGCGGGTTCGGATCCCTATATAGGGATGGCCGGTTGGCTCACTCGGGAGAGCGTGGTGCTGACAATACCAAGTCAAGGGTTAAGATCCCCTTACCGGTCATCTTTATTAAAAAAAAAAAAAAAAATTGTATCTTGAAATAAAGTCAATAGCATAACATAAATTTGAAAGCTAATTAACAAATCTCATGCTGTTTACACATTTCGTACATTTAAAAAATAATTAAGTCCTAGCCTTTTCAGGGTTAAAGGCATCTGCAGAGGAAAACATTTTGCCATCACAAGTGATTTGGAGTGCTTTTCCCAGCAGACTGAAGCTGCAGGTAGATGAATATTTTGGCCAGGACTCAGGGTTCCCCCTCTTGAGGTCGCGACAAGCCACATTTGATAATCTCCTTGATAATCTCTGTGCCAGTAAGTGTTACCAAAACCCCAAAGGTCCGTTTGCTTGCTGGTCAATAGCCAATAATGGAGAGACAAGTGTTGGTGTAAGGAAAGGTAGCCTTTAGTCAGGAAGCCGGCAGCCTGGAGAAATGATGGACTCATGTCTCAAAGACCATCTCTGCCTCTTCCAGGTTTGCCAAAGGGTTTTATAGGGATCTGGGGTGGAAAGTTGATTTATGGTGACCATGTTGGGATGTGCAGACATGCTTCAGTGTTTCAGATAATCATCAAGGAGCTTCCCAGGTGGGAGTTGACCAGAATCATACTTCGTTCTCCATGAGCTCAGTTCCTGTTATTCTCAAGTAAAATGAGGTTAGTAAGCTAGTAAAGAATGGCCATCTGGGTTAATAATTTTCCCTCTATTTATTCGTCTGCAATGTGAGAGCAAGTCATTGTGTTTTGGCAATTAGCTGTAGGCTAAGTGGTTTGGGTTACAGGACAGAACAAGTTTTTAAATTCAAAGGCTTAACAAAATGGAGTCATTTCTGTTCAGGCTGTTACATAAGGACTCCAAATGGGGTGGTATGACAGCCCACCTACCCCAGTTTCCAGTTACCTAATTTTTCCAACTAATTGAGATTTGCAAACACCTTCCAATCCCACCTAGGTTTCCTCCCCATTAGACTGGATTTCACTGATGTAAGTACTGCTGATTTTATTCTGGATTTTCTATATTCAGAAACATATTAGGGTACTACAAAAAGTTTGTGGTAGGGCTGGCCAATTAGCTCAGTTGGTTAGAGCCTGGTGTTATAACACCAAGGTCAAAGGTTGTATTCCTATACTAGACCTCCCCCCCAAAATAAACATTCACGGAAAAATAGAATTGAGTGCTTTTCATCAGCACATATACTAGAATTGGACCACTCACACTAGCTCTTAACCCTGTGACATTAAATCAAACGCATGGATGGTGAACCTGAGGTTAGCAGGGTTGGTGGATTCCGAATCACAGGGCTGAGAGAAGGTGCCCAGCACACAGGTGCATGCATTTTAAGCTGGCTCCCCAGGCCCAATGCAAATGTCCAAGGCCCCACATTCTGGAATACAGGACACTTGCCCGTCAGATGTAAAAGCTCTCCAGGTGATCCTCATTCCCAGGTAATCAAGACAATCAGCAGACAATGCAGTTCCACCTGGGACATTATTTCCCCCTGATAAGTCAGATACCCTCCCAACTGCATTTCCCGCCTTGCTCCCTCATCTCCTTCACGTCTTTATTCAAATAACACTTTTCAGGCAGACCCATTTAACACTACCACCCTCCCTCTCCCCTGCTTCATGTTTGGGCTAACACTCGTGTACTCTGGTGCCTACAACGACACATGGTAGTTGCTAAATAAATATGTGTTGCGTGAATGTTAAATAAACTGGCTGGAGCCCGGGCCTTTGGAAAGTTCATCTCATCCCCGCTGCAACAGTTTGTTCAATGGGAATGAACGCAGAGCTAGGCCCTTCCTCGGAGTGAGCCCAGTCTCTTGGCCACTGCCACTGAGTCTGGAGAAGTGCCCATGTCTGACGAAAAGGTGTAGAGAAATGGCCACGCTCCGTTAAATGAAAGAAGCAAGTTGCAACGTGCTGCGTACATTACAATCCACTTTGTTAAAAAATTAACATTTTGGGCTAGCCGGTTAGCTCAATTGGTTAGACGATGATGCTATTAACACCAAGGTCCAGGGTTCGATCCCTGTGTCGGCTAGCCGCAAAAAAAAAAAAAAAAAAAAAAAAAATTAACCATTAGGGTTATTCATTCATTCAACACATATATACTGAACACTTTTATATAGAGGTATTCATTTCTTAAATATTTACTAAGCACCTACTATGTGCCTCGGACTGGGTCTGAGGATTTAACAAGATCCCACTGTTAGGGAAAATATAGGAAAATGGTCAGTATCCCTCAAATGTTCAGAATCTTGCTGAGCATGACCTAGCCTGTTTAATGTAAATATGCGCATGAGTACCCAGGTGTTCTTTGGTTATCTGACTTGCGAAGTATAAAGAACACACGGGGACCGGGGCCGGCCCCTTGGCTCACCCGGGAGAGTACGGCGCTGGTAGCACCAAGGCCGCAAGTTTGGATCCTATATAGGGATGGCCAGTGCGCTCACTGGCTGAGCGTGGTGCAGACCACACCATGGCGAGGGTTGCGATCCCCTTACCAGTCAAAAAAAAAAAAAAAACATGGCTCCGATCCACAGTGCCCTTGGGACACCCTGGGAGGCCACTAGGGCAGCTGCTGCTAGCTACCTGAGCTTGCATCTGAATAAAGCCTATCAATTTTTACCCACAGCTCCCAGGATCTTTTTCTTATTACCTAGCTTGTGGACCTGCATGTAAGGGCTTTGCCACCCAGTCTGCACAACAGGTTTGAAGGGTCTGTGGGCCCTAGCCTGACACCCACCCCTCATGGAATTTACAATCTACAAACATATAAGCATAGAGATATCTCTGGACGGTTACACACACACTCATTAACAGAAAACAGATTTTTTTTTTGGAGGGAACATGACTATATTATCAATACTAATATTAGTAACAACCACCAGGGAAGCGGCAATAGCTCCAGCAGAGGCAGGATGGTATGTAGGTCAGGAGTGCTGACTCTGGGGCGGGACAGCATAGATTTGATCCCTGGCTCTGAACTCCTTTGCTGGGTATCATAGTCCATTTGGGCTGCTATAAGAAAAGACCATAAACTGGGTACCTTATAAACATCACTTATTTCTCACAGGTCTAGGGGAAGAAGTCCAAGATCAAGGCACAAGCAGATGCAGTGTGGGTTAGGTAGGACCCACTTCTTTTCACTATGTCCTCACACGGTGGAAGGGGCACTAATCCCTCCACCCTCATGACCTGACCAGTCCCCAATTCCTAATACCATCATCTAGAGGGTTAGGATTTCAACATATGAATTGGGGAGGGGACACAAACATTGGGACCATAGCACTGAGTGTCCTTGGGCATGCCATTTGCCCTCATCATACTTCAGTCTCCTAATCTATAAAACAGGGATAACCACAATGCCTAAACCCTAGCCCCATTTGAGAATTAAATGAGATCAGGTACTTAACCACTGTTAGCCCAGGGCCTGGTACATGACAAGCTCTCTGTAAGCATTTGCCTTGTGGCCTTGGGCTCGTCCTGTCACCTATGTGGGACAGGCACTATTGCCATCACTTCCATATGACAGATGAGGAAACCCAGGTGTTCGATCCCACAGGCCCCTGACACAGGGAGAACACATCATGTTCCTAAATGAAAAAGATACATCCTGTGGTGAACAATTTTGTGTGTTAAATTGACTAGGCCACAGTACCCATATCCTTGGTCAAACACCAGTCTATATATTGCTGTGAAGGTATTATTTAAATGAGATTAACATTTAAATCAGTAGACTTTCAGTAAAGTAGATTATCCTCTATAACTTGGGCATGGCTCAACTAATCAACTGAAGGCCTTAAGAGAAAAAAGACAGAGGTCCCTGAGTAAGACAGAATTCTGCCTTTAGGTTTTGTTTTGTTTTGTAACACCGAACCCTTGGTGATGTTCTTTGGAAACAGGGTGGTCACGAATGTAATTAGTTAAGATGAGGTTACACTAGAGAGGAGTGGGCCCTTAATTTGACTGGTATCCTTATAAAAATGGGAAATTTGGACAAAGACACAAACACAGGGAGAATACCATGTGAAGATGAAGGTAGAGATGGGGTGAAGCTTGCTTCTATAAGCCAGGGAGCGCCAAAGACCGCCAGCGAACCACCAGAAGCTAGGGGAGAGGCCTGGAACAGATTCTGCCTCACAGCTTCTAGAAGGAACCACCCTGCCAACACCTGAACCTCAGACTTCTAGCCTCCAGAACTGCGATTCAATGCATTTCTATGGTTTCAATCACTCCATTTCTGGTACTTTCTTAGGGCATCCCGGGTAAACACACACCATGCCACACCACCCATGGTGGTTGGGTACTTCTTACATGGCCTCTCAGATAGCCATCAGTGTTATTCCTGAACACCAGGTGGGAAAGACAGCCCCTGTATGGCCTCTGTTTCTTAAAGCCCTGTTATCATATTCACTTAGGAAACTTGATAAAATGCAGATTTCTGGGCCCTACTCCAGACCTACCAAGTCAGAATCCAAGGGTTGGGACTAGAATCCAGATTTTCAAAGATCTCTCCAGGTGATCTTTATTTTTTTCAAATTTTTCTTTTTTAGAACAGTTATATACAGAAAAATTGAGAGGATATAGTAGAGAGAATTCCATATACTCAGCATCTAGTTTCTCATATTACAATATTAACATCTTACATAGGATGATACATTTGTTACACTAATGAACCAATATCTATACATTGTTAACCAAATTCAATAGTTTATTTAGATTTCCTTAGTCTTACCCTAATGTCCTTTTTCTGTTCCAAGATCCAATCCAGACCACATTACATATAGTCGTTATATCTCTTTAGGTTCCACTTGGATGTGGCAATTTTTCAGACTTTCCTTGCTTTTGATGACCTTGATAATTTTGAGTACTGATCAGGTATTTTGTATGAGATGTTTTTCTCAAGATAAGACTGGGGTTATGAGTTATTGGGAAAAAAATAACAGATGTAAAGGGCCAATTTAATCACATCATATGAAGTGTATAAACTATCAACATGATTTATGACTGCTGATACTGACTTTGAGATAGTGTGTGTCAGGTTCCCAAATGATTTTTTGTGGGGCGGGGAGCCTGGCCAGTACAGGAATCTAACCAGCTGAGTTAACTGGCCACTCCACCCTCCACCCCCAGCTGATTTTTATGCCAGAGAAACAAGAGGCGATGGAGAGGGGACCTAATTCTCTACCTATGACAGCACTGGCTTTTAAGTTGTTGCTTAGGACAAGCAGCCACAACGAGCAGGCAGCTCACAGACAGAGCATATCTGACGTGCCAGCTGCCATGATTGACACCTGACACATGATTTCCTCTGTCCCACAACAACCCTACAAGATGGGTGAAATCATTATTCCCATTTTATGGATAAGAAAGCTGAGCTTTTGAGGACTTACAGCCAGAAACCTAGAGCCAGACCTGCTCAACACTGCTCAGATCTGTGCGCTGTCCTGGAGGTAGGTGATTCTGTGAGCAGGTGAAGGAGCCATGGTGGCTGGGGCCTCCTTTTCAGGGGTGACAAGTGTGAACAAGAGATATTTCACTCCTTCCCCTCAGGGGCACACTAGAGCTCTAACAAGAGGCCAACTATCTCCTTCTAGCTCAAGTGTTCCAAGGGGGAAATACCCAAATGGATAACTGTAAAAAGACAACCAAGCAACACACAAACGAAAAAAACCATGTGGGGCCAAGGTGTCCAAAGCCTAAGGAAATAACATTGGCATAAAAAAAACCCCAAAAAACAAAAACAACTCCCTGTAACACCTATAACCATCTGTAAGCATGCTGCAAGCGAGATTACCAAAAGAGCAACTGCTGGTCATAGGGCAGGGATATTTTCAATTTTGATGCATACTACCAATGACTCCTACAGGGTGCAGTTTCACATTCCTACCAACAGTACAGACTGCCCATTTTCTCACCCCATCACCCATACTGCATATCATCTTCATCTTTCATTTACTGCTTTCTAGGAGCTTTTCATGTCCTAAGGATATTAGTTCTCAGTTAAAGATAGGACAAGTACTTTTACTGGTCCATCATTCCTTTATTGTCTTTTCCTCCATACAGGTTGTCCCTTTTTGGCTGAGTGAAGTCCATCGATCTTTTCTGTCACAGCTTCTCAGTTTTGTGTCACATGTAGGAAAGCTTCCTACTCTCACTTTGTGCGCAGCCATCAGTCCCAGCTCAGAAGTGGTTCTTACCTTTATCCACATGCTCTCTCGCCAGCTGCCTGGCCTGTCAATGCCCCGTGCAGCCCTCTAGCCCCAGAGCAGAGCTTGGGCCCTGGGAGTCCCAGGGCCGGCCTGCACTGGGGAGCTGCTGGGTGTCCAGCCCTGGACTCAAGTTTTTCTCCAGCTCTGCTGCCACTCGAGGGGCTGCAGCCCGGATGGCATCCTGAATGCTGTGTAAGTCCCACTGAGTCCTCAGGAGGGCATCGTCCAGTGTGAAGAAGCCGTCGCGAGTGCGCCGCACTTGGGAGCAGACAGCTGTGGTCTTTAGCTCCAGGCCAATCTCGTGCACCAGCTTTCGCAGCTGCTTCTGCGTCTCGTGCATGCACTGCACTTCTGCCAGGGATACACAATGCCGGACACAGTGGTCAGGAGCATAGCCACTGGTGTCTGCCTGATCTGGATCCATGTCCCTTGGACACCTCCTGACTGTGTAATAACCTTAGCTCTCTAGGCTCTGCTACTCTGAGGGCCAGCCCTGTGGGTGCCACCCAAAAGTGTGTTAGATATTTGGGATCTCAGACCCCACCTAGACCTGCTGAGTCAGCATCTGGTGATCTGTGGGTAGGTTAGAGTTTGAGACGTGCTACTCTAAGACTTGGTTTGCTCATCTGTAAAATGGGGTAAAGAGATCATTTATATAAGGTGCTTAGCTTTGGGAGAGTCTTGGTCAGTGCTCAACAAAAGGAGTCCTTGTTGATATCATCAACAGAGAAAAAGCAGTGGGGGGTGTGGAGCAGACAAAAGGAATAAAGATAATGGGGGCTGAGTTGGGCGGGACTGGGGAGATGACAGTGGTGTCTGATCTGCCCATGACAACTTGAAACACCCAGAGAGCTCTGGAAACAAGCAGCTAAAAAGAACCTTGCTTGTTAAGGTCTGGCTTCAAAGAGTCACTCAGCAGGAGGCAGGAGAGCTTTTGTTCTGTGTGCTCTATGATCAGCCAAGTTGGGCCAGGGCTGGGAAGGAAGCCGGCCCCTGATGCGTTGGCCAGCAGAGGTCAGGGCTGGCATATGCCAGCCTCGGCTGAGTTAGAGAAGAGCAGCCTTTGCAAGAGCATTTCACCGTGCCTCCCCAGACCAAGAGCCCCCATCTCACCACTCCAACTTCCTGGGGAAACTTACCTAAAAGGAATTCTGGAGGCGCAAAATGGAGGCATCGGATGCCAGTTATCAGCATCGGGGACTTGTTCATGGGGCGGATCAAGCCTCTCATGGCCATCTCATAGGCCTCCTGGGTCTTCAGGTCGACGTTGGAGTACCTGGGGACCAAGAGGGGCTACAGTTGCGTGGATGAGGAGGGGTGGGAAGCTGGGCTGCCACCCCGGCCCCTGCCCCACTGATTTGCATTCCGTGTTCCCTGCCATCCCCTGCTCCTCCAGCCACCTTTGCAGGAGGCTCTTTCTCTGTCCCCTCCAATCACCCAATGCAGCCTCTGCACATTCTTCACCACTTCTGAACCTCTGCTGTAGCCTGTGCTCCACGGTCTCTGCCTGGCCAGCCCACAGGAACCTCACTCTCAACCCAACCCAAAGAGAACTCAACATCTTCCCTCTACACAGGTTCCTCTTCTCTGTCCCAACACCCCCATGGCCCAGGGTGTCCCCCAGTCTCTTCTTCTCCCTGCCAACCACATCGTCCTGTCTTCATCCTTTTATTTATTTATTTATTTATTTATTTATTTTTTGAGACCGGCCGCACCGCACTCAGCCAGTGAGCGCACCGGTCATCCCTATATAAGATCCGAACCCGCGGCGGGAGCGCTGCTGCACTCCCAGCGCCGCTGCACTCCCAGCGCCGCTGCGCTCCCAGCGCCGCACTCTCCCGAGTGCGCCACAGGCTCGGCCCATGTCTTCATCCTTTAAATGATGCTCCTTAGGGCAGTTCCTCTGACCCTAGCAGCCTCCTCACCTCATATGGTGGTTTTGCTAGTGTCACCCAGTTCCTCGAAGTCACTGTGCTCAGGTACCTGCCTGATGCCCTTGAGTCCTCAGCAGATGTCCATAGGCCAGGGCACTTCTTGTCCCCAGTTTATAGACAAGGAAAGTGAGGCTCATAGCACTGACTCAAGGCCTCACCACTGGTGCCTGGCAGAATCAGGAGTCCCAGGTAGGCTTGCTCCAGAGCCCAACCTCTTAGCTACTAGGTAACCCTACCACCCGCTCCCGCTCTGTGCTATGATGATGGGATCACTGGTTTCCCTTCCATTAAATCATATACTCCCTCAATAGACAGCTGGGACCTCTTGTTCTCCTAGGTTTCCTCAGTAGCTGCCTGCAGACCTGGCACACAAAAACACTTTGGCATATCATGGAAGGAATGAGTAGTTCCCTCTGGATTTGGGTTCTGAAAACAGGATCTGTGGAATCTGTCCCAGGGTGGGCAGAGCCTATGCAAGCCCCATGGGCACTTCTCCTTACTCCCCCCAGAACCTCCTCGAGGGCCCCACTTACATCACCAAGGCCTTCTGATGCGAGCCTTGGATCACGGCCAGGATCCGGTCCAGCTTCTCTCTGGTCACATGGTCTGGAAAAGGCAGGGGGTCATCAATGCACAGGTACACCGTGAGGATGGGTGACAGCAAACTAGCAAACTCCTTTCCCCCAAACCAATCCCATCCTTGGAACCTGGAGGAGTGTCACAGCACCCATTTGGGGGGTTCCCATGGGATGGAAGTGTTCAGTGTCCTTTGAAAAAACTCTTTTTTTTTCTTTTTTTGTTCTTTTTGAGACGGGCCGCACCGTGCTCAGCCAGTGAGCAGACCAGCCATCCCTATACAGGATCCGAACCCGCGGCGGGAGTGCTGCTGCACTCCCAGCGCCGCACTCTCCCGAGTGTGCCATGGGCTCGGCCCTGAAAAAACCCTTTATGAAAGCTCTGGACTCTCTTCTCAGAAAAGATACACATGAACTTCGGGCCAGCCCGGTGGCACACTGCTACAGTGCGCCGCTTGGGAAGCGCAGCAGCGCTCCCGCCAAGGGTTCAGATCCCACATACAGACCAGCCACTCACTGGCTGAGCGAGGTGCAGGAGCAACACCGAGGGTTGCGATCCCGTTGCCGGTCCCGGTCCGGTACGGGTGCGACACTGAGGGTTGCGATCCGTTGCTGGTCACGAAAAAAGACAAAAAGGAAAAAAAAAAAAAAAAAAGAAAAGATACACATGAACTTAACATCTGCTCAGAGCCCCTGAAGCCATTCACACTCCCGGTTAAGAACATTTTCTTCTGGAAATGGAGGCCCAAAGATTTGACTTGCTCAATATTCTAAGCCAGATCTCTTAAGCCCCATTTTGGGGATTTCTGGGCCAGAGGCCCTGGGAGGGAGGGTGCCATCAGCCTAAATACAGAAACAGCTGCAAGAAGCGGGAGTGGCTCTGCCTGCTGCTCCCATGGAGTGATGGCAGCAGCAAAGCCAGGGGACTCTCACAAACTCTGCCAGGAGGCCCTGGTCCAGGGGCCCAGCTGGGGCGTGTATCAACTTCCAGTTCAAGTGACAGAGCTCTGGGAGCATATGTGAGGATCGAATGCTGGCTAGCCTGGAGGATCGAAGCCTCTGGCCCCTCTTGTCTGGCTCTACTCAGGCTATTGTCTTAGCTGGAATGTATCTGCCACTGTCTCCTCACCCCTCACTGGCAGCCCAGCCCAAGTGCTGCCTCCTCCAGGAAGCCCCTCCTGGATCACGTCACTTCCTCCTGGCTCCTGCCACTCTGCACCTGGGTCTCTTTCCAAGAATGTAATTTTCTTTGATTTTTACCTTATCTTTTAGTTGCATAATTGATACATCAATCTTCTTGTAAAAATTTAGATCAGCAGCAACAAACACCCCTCCCCAACCCCTCAAATTCTGGGCTTCCTCCCTCCCAGAAGTATCAACTTGGCAATTTTCCCTAGATGTTGTTGTGGATGTTGACACATACCTACATGCACAGATACACAGTGTTGCTTTGCCACATGTTTTCTATCCTCTACAGATGATGTGGGGTGTATGTGCTAGACAAAGAGCATGAGACTGGGGACCCCATCTCATTCACCACATGGCTCCCAGGCCTAGCACATGGTTGGTGCTCATGAAACATCTGTCAAGTGAGCAAATGCGACAGATCCCATAGAATGGCTTGGAATGTGGGGACAGTGAGCCATCCACCCCCACCCATCCATCCATCAGCATCTAACAGGCACCTCCCACATCCCAGGCCCTATGCCATGTGTGTGACCAGAGGAGTGAGTCCCTGCTCTCAAAGGTGACAGTCTGGTGGGGAGACATACTAAATTATCATGAATTATTAGTTGGCTACTATTCTGAGAGTCTATCCAGTCCAAGGGTGGAAGAGGCTTCTCCGGGGAGGTGGCATTTGAGACAGCTGAGGAGGTGAGCAAGGGTGTTCCTGGAAAACAGATGGTATGTCCAAAGCCCCAGCTTGAGCTTGCTGTGTCACAAGCAACTGAGAAGGACAAGCGAGGCCCAGGTGAGGGTGAGGAGTCCAGAGAAAGCAAACGTGAAGGCAGATGGCAGCAGCTGCCTCCACCTCCACCTGGCTGCCAGGGCTCTCACCATATGTGGTCTTCTCCACCAGCCGCCCGTCCTCACAGAAGTCATCCGTGGCTTTGCCCAGGAGGCCACGCACTGTGTAATCCTTTAAGGATAGAAAGGGGAAGATCTGGTCCATGTCCCCACTCTAGGCCACAGTGCTGAGGAGGGAGACCTGGCCCAGAAACTCATGCCCCAGAGGTACTAGATAGGCTGGTGGTGGGGTCCCTCGGGTCTCCCCTTAGGCAGCTCACAGCTCAGCCCCTACCCTGCAACTCTGCTGCCCCCCACCCCCGGGGAGGGGCTCTGGTTCTGTGTGGCTGTGGGCAGCTCTCCTGCTCTCTTTGTACCCAAGTTCTCTGTGACCTCAGGATGGTGACAGGGCCAATCTCACAGTGCTATTGCCTAGATTCAGTGAGACATGGTGCCTAGCTCCCAATCAGTGGGCTTCCTTGCAGATTGCTGGCTGGGTTCCCATGGCAATGAGCATCAGCAACTTGCAAAGGGCCATCCTGAGACCACTATACGTCTCCAAGTCTCTCCACTCCAGCTAACCTGGCAATTTATCACCGCAAGCACCTCCTAGTATGCCCCGTTGTGGCTCCATCCCTCTATATGTGGCTAAGGTTTCAAGGCCCAGATCAAGCCCTTCCTCCTCTCCATTCACAGGAACTCCCCTTAATCTAAATCTGTGTGGCTTACTGCCTCCGCCACAAATAAGAGTGATGATGATGATGATGATGGAGGTGGTAACAACGGTGACATTACATGAGCATTCACTATATGCCAGGGACTGTGCTAAGCACTTTACATGTCGTCATTAACTTAATCTTCAGAGTAACCTTATAGAGGAAATACTATTATCATTTCCATTTTAGAGATGAGGAAACTGAGGCACACAGATTTTAAGTAATCCACCCAAGAACACAGCTGGCAGAGTGGTAGAGGATAGGTTTGGAACTGAAGCCATCTGGCTCCTGAATTTGTGCTCTTAACCACTAACAACATGGTCCCCCCTAATGTGGCGCTCGTGCACACCCCCTGTGGTACCAGATTCCACAGCCCCACCTGGATGGCAGCTCCCTGAGGGCTGGATGGTGATGCCCACTTCTCAGTCTTGGGGAGAAAATGAAATAGTATCACGATCAAACTCTGGTGTCAGACAGATCCAGGTTCTAATCCCAGCTCTTAAAGCTCTAAAAACGGCGTGGCTCTGAGCAAGGAATGTCCCTTCTCTGAGCCTCACTTTTTGCATTTGTGAAATGGGTAACAACAAATTCCACTTTACGGGGAAGCTGTGAGGCTTCCATGAGGGAATCCACATACAGGGCTCACCACAGAGTAGTTGGCATGCAATAATGATAGTAGTTTTGTTTTTCATTTTTTGTTCAGGTGGCTGGCCGGTATGGCCCTTGACCTTGGTGTTACCAGCACTGCATTCTAATCAAGTATGCTAACCCGCCAGTACAATGCCAGTTGTTATTATTATCATTATTACTAAAGTCTCCCCTAGTACATGACTATAAAAAAATGCTTGCTGATGGCCTAGCTGTTCTCCATGGAATCCTCTAAGCTTCAGAATTCTGCTGGTGACTCCCAGGAAAAGACCAAAAGATAAGCAGGCTGTCCCGAGACCCCTGTACCTTGGTGAGATGAGCATCATACATGTCGGTGAGGAGGCTGCGTCCATGTCCCACGCCGAGCACTGAAAGACAGCCAGCATCATGTCACACCTGGCAGCCCTACCCGTTCCCTTGGGAACCCCCACCCCATCATCAGAATACTCCCTCCTCGGATGGTGATAAAGCCAGCAAGGGGACAAGGAGAACTTTTTTTAAAAAAATTTTGAAATTAAGAATTATTTTATTAAACTATATAAAATGTCTTGTGAATTTTTTATTTTATTTTATTTTATTTTGTCAATATACAATGTGGTTGATTATTGTGGACCCTTACTGAAACCTCCCTCCCAACAACCTCATATCTGTCCGCTTGTCGTATCAACTTCAAGGAATTGTAATTGTTGTGTCTTCTTCCTTCCCCCCCACCCCCAGTTTATTTGTGTATTTGGCAAGGAGAACTTCTAAGGGGAGCAAGCAAGTTCCTCTGGGTATATGTCAAAATGCAGATTTCGAGTTCCAGTCAAGATGGCAGAATAGACAGTCCCCAGTATCACTCTCTCCCACAAATCAACCAATTTACAACTATAAAAATGTAACATTAGCCAAGCTGGGGCCACTGGAGCTCAGGGGAAGAGGAGGAGAGACCTACAGAGTTCATGAAGGCAGGAGAAACCACGATAAGAGAAAGAAAAAACTGCTCTGAGTGTTTCAGGCTGCGGCTGCTTTAATGCTGGAACTGCTGAGCACACGGAGCAGGAGCTGGCAGAAGCCGCAGCTGTGCTCTTCAGATGGAGTTACTTGGAGGCTGCAGGGGAGAAGACTTTGGTGGCCCCCAGGACAGCAAGACCACTAATAGGGTTCACGTGGACCCACGCAGGAGAGAGAAGCCAGAGCAGATGAAAAAGGGGAGCCACTCAGAGGCTGGTGAGTCATCACAAGGGACCAGCACACGGCCCGTCCCATGGGAAGTGTTTGGAGCATGGGCAGTGGAGGAGAAGTGCCCACCAGGAGAACACAGGGACACAGCAAGGACAGCCAATCTGCCCCCCAATCAGCACAGGACCACTCAGAGGAGACTGGTTGGGAATGCAGAATTGCATGGGGTGCAGTTTGATGAAAAAACTCAGGCCCAGATCAGAGTTTCTACACAACCCAGGTGCACCAAATCTCTGGAGAGCCGGAAGTACCTATAAGGTCAATCATTAAATCCTGAGCTGCACAAAAAGCCTTCCCAGGGGAATCAGCAGCAAAGCAGCAATTTAGCCCAACCATAGAGCTCAAGTACTGGTTCCCACAGGAAGTTCCCCCATGTTAGAAGTAAGCAAAGGACAAAAAGTTAATTCCGGCCCAGGCATACCATCAGCAACTTGGGGCCCACCAGGGGACATGAAGCATGGAGCCAGGGACAAAACCCCCGCCCACAACCAGGCACACTGTGCCAGTGCCTCAGGGCCTGCCCAGGGACCCAAGGCATGGAACGGGGACCAGACACTCCCCACCAGCACCAAGGAGCATGCCAAAAACATCACCTCCATGTGGGTGGCCCACTTCAGCCACCACAATAACCATGGCTGCCACGAAAGCGGCTAGACACAACCACCATGCAGATGGTCCACCAGCTACTGGAGTGCATTGACACAAGGAGAGTCACCAGCAGAGATAAAGAAAAGAAGAGGATATCTCTCTCCACAAAGCCCATTTCAGAGTGACAGAAGAAGCATCTGCTCTATGATAATATTGGGAGACCTGATCATACCTCTCAGCATTGGATAGATCACCTAGGCAACAAGTCATCAGAGTAACTATTATTCTTTCAGGAGAGAAGAAATCTAGGGTAATTAGACAGAGAGCAGGGAGGGAGAGGGGGATGGGGAGAGATTAGAAAAGTGGCATAAAGAATAATTACGATTTAGGGCCAGCCCGGTGGCGCACTGGATAGTGCGCCGCTTGGAAAGCGCAGCGGCGCTCCCGCCCGAGGGTTCGGATCCCACATACAGACCGGTTCCCGCTCACTGGCTGAGCGAGGCGCGGGAGCAACGCCGAGGGTTGCGATCCCGTTGCCGGTCCCCGGTCCGGTACGGGGGCAACACTGAGGGTTGCGATCCGTTGCCAGACACGGAAAAAGACAAAAGACAAAGAATAATTACGATTTGTAACAACATATATGCTAGTAATATTGATTTAATCAACATAGCTCAATGTTGAACCTCAAAAATATGTATAATGAATTCTGATTCAACAAAAAATTTTTTTAAAATGCAGATTTCTGGGCCTCGCTCATATGTACTACATCTGCTCATGGTGGAGAGGGGGCTGGGGATTCTTAGCAAACTCCCTGCGGGATTCATTTTTTTCTTTTCTTTTTCTTAATTTTAATTTTTCAACATACAATGTAGTTGATTTTCGTATCCCTTTACCAATTTCCCTTTTTCACCCCTCCCTCTCCCCCCTCCCCTTCCCAGGGTATTGTGATACTCCCAAAAGTAAGACATTATTGGCCCAGTCAGACAGACCTACACTCAAATCTGGGATGGCTCTGAGTATAACCCATAACATCTTTGGGCCTCAAGCCCCTCTTCAGTAAAATGAGGTTGAAAATACTGTCTGATCCCTGTGAGTGTTGTGCATATTAAGGGAGGCAGTACACAGGAGGCAGTCAGCACAAAGGAAGGACCCAATAAATGGTGGCCACTGTGGCCACTTCCTGCCTTTCTTCCCTTCTGTTCCTCCCTCTGGCTAAAGGAGAGACTGACCCTCCATTCACTCTGAGAGAGGGAGAACAGGGAGGGGGTTATGAGATCATATCTGCCTGCCTGAGCCCCAGAAAGCAAGACAAGGGGATTGTGATTTTTGAGGCTGGAGGATGTAGCCACCACCTGACTCTGCGGACACAGATGGCTCATGATTCAGGGCTTTGTGTGTCTAGCTCCAGCAACATCCAGACCCTGGTCAGTAAAGCCAGAGTCATGTGCCTAGCTGCCCCATGACACAATAATGGTTTTCCCTCTCTGGACCAGGGGCTTTCACTAGCCATGTGACCCAGGACAAGTCACCTAAACTCCTGAAGCCTTACTTTTTTTTTTTTTTTTCCTTTTTGTCTTTTTTCGTGTCCGGCAACGGATCGCAACCCTCAGTGTCGCGCCCGTACCGGCCCGGGACCGGCAACGGGATCGCAACCCTCGGTGTTGCGCCCGCACCTCGCTCAGCCAGTGAGCGGAACCGGTCTGTATGTGGGATCCGAACCCTCGGTGGGAGCGCCGCCGCGCTCCCAAGTGGCGCACTGTAGCAGTGCGCCACCGGGCCGGCCCATGAAGCCTTACTTTCTTCATCCTTAAAATCAAATGGTATCTACCTAATAAAGCTGTTGTGCTGAATAAATGTGCACAAAAGGCCTCCAGCCACATGTCACATGCAGGAATCATTTGATAAAGGTGGGCAATTGTGATTATTATCCTGTGACACCCTCCCTTCCACCAATCATCTCCCCAGCTAATCAGAGACTTGGGCAGGAATCAGGGCAGGAGGGCAGTGGTAGGAAGTGGCTGTCAGATAAGAAGTGGGCCAGGCACCTGGGAACTCCCTGATTCTTACTCAGGCACATATCGTTGTACACCCCCAGGCTTACCACATCACCTACCAAGCACCCCAGAAGCCTGGGCATCCAGCCGGTGTCCCACACCAACCTTTAGGCTGGTGAATGCTGGTCCACGTACTGGAAAGAAACAAACAAGGTTCATTTCTTCAGCTAAAATCTAGCCTCTAGAATGGCTTTGGGCTGCATGATGACCTCATTCCTAGAACTGAGCCACAATGAGGCCCAACTAGGATCAGTTTAGACTCTCAGGCTTCCCCACCATGGAATCTGGGGCCCTGAACCATTTCTTCAGTTCCCCGAGGCTCCTGCTGAAGGAGAATCCTGGCCACTATCCCAGTGAGAAAATGGAGGCTGTTAGCTCCCTACGGCAGGAACTGGATGTCTCTTGAGTTTTACCCCCAGAGTTCAGAACTCACTAGCTGCTCAAGAAATAACTTCTGACTATTGAAAGAACGAATAAGGAATGAGCCACAAATATTTACACTTTTTTTTTTTTGGCGGCTGGTCAGTAAGAGAACTTGAACCCTTGACCTTGGTGTTACCAGCACCATGCTCCAACCAAAGTGTTCACACTTGTATAGATCAAGAGAATTTAGGGGAAAGAGTACACGTTAAGAACCTACTGAATCTAGGCTACATTAATTAATGTCAACATTGAGCCTCAGTTTCCTCATTTGTGAACTGGAAATAGGACCTATCCCATAGCATTATGGTGAAGATTCAATGACATCACAGTTTGGGGAAAGTTTAATATGATGCCAAGTGCAAAGCATTTCCTTTCTTTTTTTTTTTGGTTTCGGGGTTTTTTTTGGCAGCTGGCCAGCATGGGGATCTGAACCCATGACCTCAGTGTTACCAGCACCACTCTCACCAAAGTGTTTACACTTCTCTAGATCAAGAGGATCTAGGAGAAGAGTACCAGTTAAGAGACTACTGAATCTAGGCTATGTTAGTTAATGTCAACATTGAGCCTCAGTTTCCTCATTTGTGAAATGGGAGTAGGACCTATCTCATAGGACTGTGGTGAAAATTCAACGCCTAGTATAGAGCAAGTGTCAATACATTTCTTGGTATTGTTGTTATACTGTGGAGTCACTGAATATCACCTGTAGAAGGGGGACTAGACGTTTCTGGTCAAACCCCTTGGTTGACACATGTCTTAATCATATCTAGTGATGGGGAGCAATTTACCAGAACCAGTTCCACTGTTGGGCAGCTTTGTTGAATAAAAACTCACTCTTTCCCAGAAACCCCAAACCCCCTCCTTAGGACTTCTACCTGAGGGTTTCAGTTCCCACCTGGACTCCCAGAATAGTAAAAGGGTCAACAAACTATAATCCACAGGCCAAATCCTCAAGCCTGTTTTTTTTTTTTAATGGGTCATGAGTTAAGAATGGTTTTTCCATTTTTCAATGGTTCAAAATAAATCAAGAGAATAATACTTCATGATACATAGAAATTACATGAAACTTAAATGTCAGTGTTCCTGGGCTGGCCAGTTAGCTCACTTGGTTAGATCAAGGTGCTGATAACACCAAGGTCAAGAAATCAGATCCCCATACCAGCCGGCTGCCAAAAAAGAAAAACAAAGTCAGTGTTGCTAAATGAAGTTTTATTGGAACACAACCAGCCTCATTCCTTTAGGTACTGTCTATAGCTGTTTTGCACTACAATGGCAGAGTTCAGCAATTGCAACAGAAACCACATGGCCTGCAAAGCCTAAAATATTCAGTATCTGGCCCTTTCCAGGAAAGTTGCCAATCCCTGCTCTAACACTTCATCCCATCTACGGTCATTCAGGGTCTGGGACAGGAATCTGAGAACTGGGGCGCTGATTCTACTCAGGGATTTCCTGCGAAGTGACACCCTGGATCCTGCTCAAATTTGGCTTACCCAGAGGATGGTTGGTGAGGGTGGGCACACTGGTGGCTACGAGGGTCAGCGCCTTCTCTTCGCTGCCTTCCGTGGGACTGAGCAAGAAGCGAACACGCTGTTCAGGGGAAGGACGCCTCCCAGCATTGAGACCTGAACACATACAGGTAAAGAATATCTTGTCAATTCTGTCGGAACACCTGGGGGACACGAGGCGGGGATGTACGATGTAGAAGACAGACGAGAAGCCCACCGTGTAGAAAACAGAATAGAAATAGGAAACAAAGAGAGTTGGATTCACATTCTGACTCTACTAGTTATTAACCGTGTGACAACAGACGATACTGAGTCAGTTTCCCCACCTGAAAATAAGGGAAAGTGAGGAGTTACGAAGTGTATAGAACAGATGATTACGAAAGCGTTCTGCCCCGGCGACAAAGACACATAACGTTATTCTGAAAGAACGATCAGTAACGGAGATGGACTCCCAGGAGAACGGGAGCGGGATCGTGGGTCTGTTTCGCAGCACTCACCCTTCAGAAGCTGCAGCTCCACGGTATCCCGCAGGTGCATCCACTTTAGCCCTGGGGGCTTATAGGCTGCGAAGAGTCCATGCAGCCGCGCCAGGCCGGCAGACCCCATGCCAGAAGCCTGTGGCCCTGACTTCCGGAAGTCCTGGTTTCTAGACGGAAGTGCCCTGCGGCCCCGCCGCCAAATGCTGTCCTTACAACGGGCGCCTCCGCTTTCCGCAGCCGGAAGAGGTTTGCACCTAATTGTCCTCGGGGGAAACGTGAAGCAGAGAAGAAAGGAGGGTCCGGTGTTAAGCCTCAAAGAGGGCGGGATACGTTTCCTTGGGAGACCGGTTCCGGGGATGAGGTGAAATGAGGAGGGCCTCGTACTGGTCGCGTGGGTTTCCTTCTCGCGCTTGGCGATAGGACCTCTTCCTGTCCGTGCGACGATGTTTCCTCTCAAAAGTCCGTAGACAGCGCAGTCGGAGCCGAGTGAGTGTTACTTGACTCCGGCGCTGCTCCGTCGCCAGAGAAATTTGGGGCGTCGTCTTGCCCCGCCATCCTCCCGCGGACGCTCGCTGCCATGGCGACGCTGCTGCGCCGGGTCCTGCGCCCCCTCGGTCGGCTGCCTGGTCGCCCCGGGCCTGCTGCAGGCAAGTGGCACCGGGCCCCTGGCGCAGGCGGGAAGGGGACTGGGGCGCGCGGCTCCTCTGATCTCGGCCTTTTTCTTGCCCCGCAGATGTGCCCCTCCGGGCCCGGAGCCATGGCGCTGGCCTGCTGTACCCGGACCATATCCCCACCTCCCCGCTGCAGAAGGCACTGCTGGCCGCCGGCTCTGCAGGCATGGCGCTCTACAACCCCTATCGCCACGGTAGGGCCACCTGCACTCGGCGCTCCCGTGGGGACCCTTGCCTTGGAAACCTGGGCAGGTCACGAGCTCTGCCAAGGCCTCCGTTTCCTATGGGGTAACCGGAGAATAGACTAGGTCCGGGTACCCAAACCTGGCAGCACCTCACAATCACCAGAACGTTTCTAGAAATGCAGATGCCTGGGTCCCACCTCAACTCGCCGAATCCGAATCGGCAGGGCAGGAGGAGGGAGGGAGAAAGGGGCGTGGAATCTGAACGTCTGCCTTTGTCAACTACTTCCCTGGAGATTCTGTCATCTAGCCATATTGAGAACGTCTGGACTAAATCGATGATTTATAAGCACTCATCAGATTATAACATTCCATAAGAAAGTAACCTTATGAGGTCAAGGACCATGACTGCCCTGTTTCACTGTATCTGCTTCGTTTTGGATAGTGCCTCGCACATAGTAAATGCTCAGTAAATGTTTGCTGGATGTGTGACTAGAACCTTCTAGGATTCTACAATGCTTTTCTCATCTCTCCTAGGATTTTTAAGTTCTGGGAAGTACTATTACTCCTACTAATAAAAACACGGATCCTTGTACTGGCCAGCCGCCAAAAATAAAATCAAATAAAATAACGCTAACTGCTCATCGAACACTTATTTTGGCTGCTTAGTGTGCTGTTTTATTTGCATAATTTTCTTGATTTCTCACATTAACCCTATAAAAAGGGTGTTATCTGCCCTTCACAAATTAGGACATTGAGGTTTATAAATGTGAAGCAATTTGCCCAAGGTCACCTAGACTGTGATTGTGTCTGGCTCAAACCTGGCACTCTCTGATACCAGTGCTTGTACCAGTCAATGGAGACATGGTATTTTGTTGTGATAATGGATGGGGAAGTGATTTATAAATTCTTTGGAGCTTTGTGCTAACCATAGCCATCCCACCCCAGTAGATTAAAAACGTTAGGAATGATGGGCCGGCCTGTGGCTCACTCAGGACAGTGTGGTGCTGATAACACCAAGGCCACGGGTTTGGATCCCTATATAGGGATGGCTGGTTAGCTCACTTGGGAGAGCGTGATGTTGACAACACCAAGTCAAGGGCTAAGATACCCTTACCGGTCATCTTAAAAAAAAAAAAAAATTAGGAATGATAACTGTAGATATATTCAGCCCTTGCTGTGGACCAGGTGATTTGCTAAGCATTGAACAACATGAGTCCTTATTGTATAGGAAGCTAAGGCTCAGACCAGGTCAGGGAACTTACCTAAGATCACATTCCCCATTTGTGCTCCTTTCTGTCCTTTCAGACATGGTTGCAGTTCTAGGGGAGACCACAGGACACCGAACCCTGAAGATCCTCAGGGACCAGATGAGGAGGGATCCAGAGGGTGCCCAGATCCTACAGTACGTGCCAGCTCTGCGTGGGGGATTGGGGGAATTCTCTAGGGATCCTGACCTCTCTAGAGTTACAGTGTATCAGTCCTGTTCCTTCTTGTTACCCTGGCAATGGGTAGTTTCACAAGCTGGGCACCACCCAACTGTAGGGGTATCATTCACATATATGTGTATGCACTATGATGACCTCTGGGTTATGCAATGTGGCGGCCTCCTCCCAGTTCCAGCCAAAGAGCTCTGTGCCTTCATTAAGTTCCCATAATATGTGCTAGCTGTATCCTTCCCCTGCAGTACTTTTTGTGAGTACTCTGATCACATCCTGCAGGCAGGAATCATGTCCTTGGTTTGTAGTAGTCTCTTCAGTCCCTCACACTGGCCTGGCCTTTAGTAGGTGCTCCATTAAGGCTTGTGGCCACAGTGCTGCTCTGTGCACCCCTTCCCTCAAGCTTGCAGTAGTCGGCCTTTTACCTGCCTTTGCAGGTACCCTCCCAATACCCAAGTACTGCCTTCTGCCTTTCAGGGAGCGTCCCAGAATCTCTCTGTCCACCCTTGACCTGGGCAAGCTCCAGAGTCTGCCTGAAGGCTCCCTTGGCCGGGAGTATCTCCGTTTCCTGGACGTGAATGTGAGTTTCCAGCTTCTGTGCATCTGCCAGTCACTAGGAAGGGCAGAGGAATGGTACAGGAGTGACACCCTGAGCTGCTGCCATGGACAGGAGTACTTTTCAGTCTCATGCCAAGGCTTTGTCATTTTTTATCAGACAGGCATATGGGGTGGGAACATTGCTCCAAATTATAATACTGGTCAGTGTTTATTAACCGCTTACTGCATGCCAGGTGCCAGGCTCATATGTGATCTTGCTGAATCCTGTCACAAACCCTGTCAAGTATATTCTCTTATTATCCTCTTTTAGTAGATGAGGAAACGGAGGCTCAGAGCAGTTATGCAGCTTGCCAATTTCATACAGCCAGTATTAATGAAGTCAACATTCAACTCCAGATCATGCTTTAACTGCTGCACTGTGTCCCCTATTCTAGGGACATTTGCTTTTCCTAGGGTATGACTAGTGTGGCACTCTCCAGCCCCAAGCAGGGGGACAGAGGCAGTGGTGGGGTGGGGAAGGTGTGTTTCCAACAGTGAAGAACTCGTTCATTTATTCAGCATCTGCCATGTGTCCTCCACTGTCCCATGTGCTGGGGATATAATGGTGAACTAGCCAGCCAAGGTTCCTGCCCTCACGGAGTTTATACTCTAGTTGGAGAGGTAGACATAAAGTAGTAAAAAAAAATTTTCATATAAAAATTCAGGTAAAATATTTACTGAGTACTTAGAATGTACCAGGCACTGTTCTCAGTGACTGGGACACAGTGCACAAAACAAGTAAAAAGCCTGCCTTTATGGAGCTTATGTCCTAGCAGATGGGTCCTATGAAGAAAACAAGTTAGTGGGATAGAGGACAGCTTTGGTGGGGAGAGGGCACAACCACTTCTGATAGGGTGGTTGGGGTGGACCCTCCAAGGAGACTTGCAGGATGAGGAGGAGGCAGCCCTGTGGAGTGCTGGGGAAGAGCATTCCAGACAGAGGGAATAGTAGGTGCAAAAGCTCTGTGTGTTCAAGAAAAGGAAAATCAACCAGTGTGGCCACAAGGAGTGAGTGGGGCCACGTAGCAAGTGGGCTGGGAGGTCCGCCAGGGCCAGGCTCTGCAGACCACCCGAACGAGTCTTTTTTTTTTTTCTGGTGGCTGGTGGGTTTGGGGACTCAACCCATAACCTTGGTATTATAAGGCTGGACTTTAATCAACAGAGCTAACTGGCCAGTCCTGAGGAGTCTGTTTTGTAATAGGAGTAATAGGAAGACATTGGAAGGTTTTGAGCAGGATGACAACATGACCTGGTTTATAAAAAGACCTTAGGATCCAGGTGGCCCACCTTTCCTGTCCCTGCCCCAACCCTGTTCCTTCCAACACATACACAGTCCATCATAGCACCTCTGCCAGGTGGCTATCCACCCCTGCTGCAGGAGCCAGCTAGGCTGGAGGAGGTAAAGGACTGACCTAAGATTGCTCTAGAATAGAGTTTCTTAACCTTTTTTTTTTTTTTTTTTTTTTTTTTTTAAAAAAATGACCGGTAAGGGGATCTTAACCCTCGACTTGGTGTTGTCAGCACCACGCTCAGCCAGTGAGTGAACCGGCCATCCCTATATGGGATCCGAACCCGTGGCCTTGGTGTTATCAGCACCGCACTCTACCAAGTGAGCCACAGGCCGGCCCAGAGTTTCTTAACCTTTGCACTATTGATGTTTGGGGCTGGATAAGTCTTTGTTGTGGGGGACTGTCCTGCGCATTGTAGGATATTTAGCAGCATCCCTGGCCACTACCCACTAGATGCCAGTAGCACCCCCCAACAATCCCACAAATGTCTCCAGACATTGCAAATGTCCCCTGGTGGGAAGTTGAAAACCACTGCTGTAGAAGGTTATTGTCCCTGAGACTACAATCTGTTCCTTACACTCTCCCGACACTGTTGGCTTGTCAGGGCAATCATCTGCCCTGTATTATACCATTTCCCTCAGATTTCACCAGGATTCAAGTTATTTCATCAATGGGAAGCCTGCCAAGGGACCTGCCCCAAGTGCCACCCAGGGAGGAACAGCCTTCTGAATTTCCCCAGAGCCTTTAGTCATGTTGCTGTGGAGGGGAGGGGGTAAAGGGATGGGCCACCCTGGGCACTTTGCCCAGCCACAATCCTAGTTGTGGTAACAGCCCTGGAGATTGTGACACTTCTAGAACAAGGAAATTAGCAGTCCACAGAGTTTAAAGGAGTACCTTTGTCCCACCAGAGATAAAGAGTCAAGGTGAGGCCACCAGAGATAAAGAGTCAAGGCTGAGGCTGGCATTGGTAAGGAAGTGATCATCATGTGGCATGAAGA